ATTGAGAATATTTTTTAACACTATCCAAGCATGGGTGTACTAAAAATTAAATTAAAAATAATAAAACATTGCAATAGTGTTTGCTCTATTTACTAGACTTTTCCTAGTAGTTTCTAGGGTCAACATTTTCATAGTATCAAAAGAACCCTAAGCTCTTTTCTGGCTAGTCAGTGCTTGTTCAACAGTGTATAAGTACAGTTAGAGCTTTTTGGTCCTATGTGCATAACTTTAATTACCTTTTTCCCCCAACCACCCCCTTCTCCATTTTGGAGAAGTCCATTTTGTTTTTCATTGTTCTGAATAATTTAGTGTGATCAACAAGCTTGGTTCCATTGTGGTTCACACCTAGCTCCAGATAGGTTAATAGAACTAGTTTGAAATGCAGCTCTTTGTTTCAGTTTCATCAAACGTCCAAGCTAGCAGAAATTCCGTGTCACTCCTGTGTCGTCCAGATGAAAATAATGTGTACAGCATACAGTACTTCAAAAATGTGTGTGGTTTAAAAGCAAAAGCAAAGCAGCTTCATTTATATACCGCTTCATACTGCGCTATGCAGTGTCTAAATGGCATACAACTGTAAACTCATTGCCTCCCAACAGCTGGGTATTCATTTTAGTGACCTTGGAAGGATGCAGGCCTGAGTCAAGCCTGAACCCTGCCTAGTATTGAACTCGCAGCCTTGTGCTTTATGAGTGAGTGGCTGCAGTACAGGCATTTAACCACTGCGCCACCAGGGGTCCTGGATTTAAAAATTAATGCTTTGCTCTTTTCCCCAAAAAGAGTCAGTATGGCCCAGTGATTACAGTATTGGATAGAGAGTTGGAAAATACAGGTTCTAGTAATCGCTGAGCCATGAAACTGCTTGGGTCATCTTGAGGTAGTCTTGCTCTCCTAGTGTGGAAGAGGAGAGACGTGTATGTTGCTTTGAGATAATTGGTGGAAAGACAAGTAATATATGGTAATAAGATTGGTAGCTGTAAGAATTGATTCACTTGAGCAAACAGCATGTCCATTTCCTAAGTGATTTATTATATGCAAGTGATTTATACTAATGGGGTTGGAATAAATGCTCTTGTTCCACTGATAGAATTGCTTCTTATAGCAGGATCAGAAGATGGTACCCTCAAAATCAGCCATGGATAAACCCTCTGGAGCATTTTTTAGGTCATACAGGGCCAAGAGAAAAGTAAATCATGTTATGTTAGTAGATTTCTATTAGCGCAGTGTTGGATTTAAGCTATCATTTTTTCAACTTTATTCTTTTGACAAATATCACAGTACCTGGATTACAGAGAGAGGTATAAAAAGTGTAGGGGACTCTGGTTTATTTAATTATTTATGGTTTGTCAACTGTTGTGTAACAAAAGTTCTTTACCAACATGAGCAGTGCATGCTGTAAAATTAAATTAACATCACAATTTGTTGTTGTGTGCCTTCCTTGGCCGCCACTGCATGCTGCTATATTTTATCCGTATCATCCTGTTTTTAATTCTGTTGTAGTTTAATTCAGTTTTAAGGGGTGGGAGGGTTGGGGTGCAGGATAAAGGAATGTTTTAACTGTTTCCTTTTTAAATTGTTGTACGCCGCCCCGATTGCTGAGCAGAGGGGCAGGTTATAAATAAAAAATTATTATTATTATTATTATTATTATTATTATTATTATTATTATTATTATTATTTCTGACATATGGTGACCTTAAGGTGAATCTATTGGGGGATTTTTGGCAAGATTTGTTCAGAAGGGGGTTGCCTTTGCCCTCTTTTGGGGCTGTGAGTGTAACTTGCCAAGGTCAGCCAGTGGGTTTCCATGGCTGAGCAGGAATTCAGACCTTGGTCTCCAGAGTCGTAGTCCAACTCTCAACCACTACACCATACTGGCTCTAACAACACAATTAAATAAGATGAGGAATACCTTTACCTGACCAGATAGTGTCCTAATCACAGAGAAGTACAAAGCATCACAAAATGGAGGGCATTCAAGAACAATGTAGGACAAAAAAAAACTTACCGGTAATATAAAACTTACTGTATATACTCATGTATAAGTCTAGAGATTTTAGTCAAAATTTGACCCAAAAAACCTGCCTCAGAGATGGCAATGGCAAACCCCTGCTTACCAAGCTTGCTAAGAAAACCCTATGATAGTATCACCAGAAACATCCAATCACACTCTCTCAGCACACAACTAGCACAACCCTGCGTGGACCTTGGCAGGTCACACTCTGCTCCTATATTTAGAACAGATAGCTTTAAATGAATCTCAGCCAAGTGTTACATAGAATGGCTATTTTTCTTTTCCCTAGTTAATACCCTATTTTTAACTGTTTAGCCTTTTTATCCTGGAAGTCCTAAATATTCTAGACAGAGGAAGGGGAACTCCAGTATCTGGGGGGAAAAGAATTACTTTTTGAATGAATTATTGATTTTTTTTTAGTGCATATTGGGGTTTTTTCTTTTCAATGCAATCATGACATTGAGTAACTTCTTTCTTGTTCTCATACATATCTATATTTGTAAATGTTTTCTGAATTCACTTTTTTTATCTGTTCCTTTCATGCTTTGTCCTGAATAGATAGAGAAGGGCAGCAGTCATTCATCCAGGCTGCAGCAGATTCAGGGAAAGGTATAATTGTCTCTAAGGGTCAAGTCTGTAACAGTTTGCTTGGATAGTTTTAGTTGTTTTAATTCAAACTGCCTGTTTTGGTTTGTGTGTACTGCTTTTAGATATGTACTAGTACATAGTTTTACTTCAACTTTGGAAGTAGATGTTGAAAGTAGGGCCAAATTTGAGGACTAGAGTTGGATATGGGAGTGAAGGCAGTACTGACACTACTGCATATTGGGAAGGACTTAAATTTCTTCCCAGTGCTGCAGTTCTGTTAAAAACTGCTGCCTAAAAGCTACTATTTCCCCCTGGAAGAGAACTGTTCTCAATGTTGAAGTACTGTAAATAGACAGCTACTCTTTGAATGGGAGTGTAATGTTTATGTAAGAACTCTAGAACTGAAAATAAGCAGGACTGCATGAATAGAATAATGTATTCAAAACATATACAAAACAGGGGGACACTTTGGTTGGTGTAGATATGAAATATGACTTCCATGCTTGATTATTTTTCTCTCTTTTTATTTTGCAGGTGTTTTCTTATTTAGATACTGTGTTACTTACATGTTGTTTTCAGTTATTTTGTCATTGTGTTATATATACAGCCTTGCTTGTGAGAATATTGCTCCTGTTAAGTGATTATTTAAGTGTAAATTTAATGTTGTAAGCCGCCCCGATTGCTCTGCAGAAGGGCGGGATATAAATAATAATAATAATAATAATAATAATAATAATAATAATAATAATAATAATAATAATAATAATTTATTATTATTATTATTATTATTATTATTATTATTATTATTATTATTATTATTATTATTATGGGAAGTTTATATATCATTGAGATAAATATTTGCTTCTAAAAACTGGTTGCTGTAAATGTTTGCTGCACTCTGAAGAACACCCTTTTAGTTAAAACAGATATTGTATGGAAATTCATTGCATTGTTTACGTGTTTTGATTATATCATTCTACATGATGTATATGTTCTGTATTGTACATATGTTTTGATTATAATATTCTGTATACTGTGTATGTTTTGAATACATTATTCTATTCATACAATCCTGCTTGGTTTTGTTTTTGGCACCTCTGGTGCATTATTGTGATTCCTTTTCAATGCCTGTCCATGTGTGTGCATGCGTGTGTACAGGAACTCTGACACATGTTGCTATGTGTACCATAGCTATGAATTTATATACTGTTTTCTAAATGGTGGCACTTTCTCACCAAATCTTACACAGTAAGGATTGGTATGTATCTCATCTCTAAATGTACTAAATTTTGTAATGGCATTAATTATATAGAAAAGCACATGAAGCAGCTGTTTTAAATTTTTTAGAAATTTATCTCCAGACTTGTAATGATTTTATGAAATAGCGCTTCGGCCTAAAAAGTCCTGTAGTATAAAAGTTTCTTGGACATACTGTTTGCTTGCTGGTTATTGTCTTGATTTTGCTTTATCCTTTTCATGTTTTCTGAACACAGTTATAGATGACCATTCTTCTGGAGATTCAGTAAGGTAAGACTAGTCTTTTTAACTTCATTCATTTTTGTTAAGCTAGAGCAGGGGTAGGCAACCTTTCCCCTTTAAGGGCCGAAGGACTTCAGCTCCCAGAATCCCAGGAGCTATTGGCCAACATGGGACTATTGGCCAACATGGCTGAGGCTTCTGGGAGCTGAAGTCTCTCGGCCCTTAAAGGGGAAAGGTTGCCTACCCCTGAGCTAGAGCATGGTGTTGTGATTTGAGTGTTGAACTACGACTCTGGAGACCAGGGTTGAATCTCCCCTCAGCAATGTATAGATACTAATTTGTATAGGTAATAATTATATACAAAAGCACATGAAGCAGCTGTTTTAAATTTTGTAGAAATTTGTCTCCAGACTTGTAATGATTTTATAATATAGTGCTTTGGGTATTCTTGGGCAAGTCACATTCTCTGGACCCCAGTGGAAGGCAAAGATTTCTCTGAAGAAATCTTGCAGAGAAAATTATCAGTGATGGCAAACGTTTTAGAGACCACATGCCCAAACTCAGTGGCATTCCTGCACCGGGTGTCACTGGGTGCCTAGGGCAGGACTTCTAGGGGTGGGACCACGGCTGAAGAGAGATCCAAAACACCCTGCAGAAATAACCAAGTCTGAAACCGCTTTAACAGCCCTCACTGCTAGGGAATCCTGGGAATTATAGTTTATTGTGGCACCAGAGCTCTCTGGCTAAATATCTCACTAACCTACAAATCTCAGGATCCCATAGCATTCAGCCCTGGCAGTTAAAATTGTGCCAGACTGAATTATTTCTGCAGTGAGGATGCTGCCCTAACACCAGTGGTTGAATATCATTATTTTGTGGATTTTGGATGTTACTGTACTTTGTTATATGGCCAACAATAGCCTGTGTGGTGTAGTGGTTTGGATGTTGGACTGTGGCTCAGGAGACCAGGGTTTAATTCCCTGCTCAGGCAAGAAACCCACTGGGTGACTTTGGGCAAGTCACACTCTCTCAGCTTCCAGAGATGTCAATGGTAAGTAACCATCTCTCACATCTCTCTCAGCCTCAGAAGACAATGACAACCCCATCTGAAATCCTCCATTTCAAGTTTCTGTCCAGGAGGAATCTCAAAATGTCCTCCCTTTTGAATATGGCTAAGAAGCATGAATTTATATTCAAATTAATTTATATTCAAATTATATTCAAATTAAGTATTTGTAGCTTAAGTTTTGTGGTTTGAGTGGTTTGTGGTTTGAGTGTTAGACTAGTCCTCTAGGAGATGGCTGGGAGAGGATAGTGCTGTTATTTGGGCTCAAGCCCTCCCAGCTGGGTACTCTGTTAGTGAGCAGGTGAGGGGAAGTGGGCGGGGGGCGGTGTGGCTCTAGTCCATAAGAACACCTTGACCTTAACCAGGATACCTATCCGGAACACGGTCCACATCGAGTGTATCTACCTTAGCCTGAAGACTAGGGATAGTTTGGGGATTTTGCTAGTTTACCGGCCACCCCGTTCTCTAGCAGACTCCCTGACCGAGCTGACACAGCTGGTCTCTGAGCTATTGCTGGAGTCCCCTAGACTTTTAGTTCTGGGGGACTTCAACATTCCGCTCGAGACCAGCTTAACAGGTGCGGCTCGGGAGTTCATGGATTCCATGACAAACATGGGCCTATCCCAATTGGTCAACGGGCCTACACATTGTGCAGGTCATACACTCGATGCGGTCTTTAGTACGGAGCAGGGATATCCGTGGGCGGAGGTAGTTTATACCTCCGCATTGTCATGGACAGATCATTTCCTGGTCAAGTTGGAACTTAGAGCCAGTACCTGCCCCGCCGGGGGTGGTGGACCTATTAGAATGGTCCGCCCTCGAAGGCTAATGGAGCCAATTCGGTTTAATGGTTGGGAATGCCAGTGATCCTGTCGAAACTCTGGTTGACACTTGGAACACCGATCTCACCA